AATAAAAATATTCAAGTACACGTTGAACATACATACTAAAAGCCTTACTCATCTGTCTGGTTAAAAATTAATTAATGCTAATAATAGATTTCATAACACATTAAAATGAAACAAATTTCCCCTCTTTCATTTTTGCTTTTCAATTAGCATTGATAATGAGTAGTAAAATTTTGTATTCTTTTGAATGACTATTATGCAAGCATTGTTATGGATCATCAGTGCTGACCACTACACTACGAAGGCATGCTAAGAAGGCAGGAGAAATACCTTATTAAATTTATTTTTCATCTACAAAGCCAAACAGTTATTCTGTAGTAACACAACCTCTAATACTTTTACTTTTACACCAGGAGAACAAGGGCACCATTGCATGGTGAACTCGAGGTTCACCTCACATGGGCCAGGGAGGGGTGGCAGCCCATGCAGCTTTTATTTTAAACAAAAGAAAAAGTTTACATGGGCAACAATGCCAGCAAAGTACAGAGATTTCGACTTAGTACAATATTTACATGGTACAATTAATAAAACACTACACAATAAGATCATGCTATTTAATACATACTAGATAATATGGAGCAATAATATATTAAATAAAAACATAAATAAACACAATATATAAACAAAATATAGGCAATTTTAAAAAAATATATTAATAGAATTCAAGATATCTTAACAAATATTAATTTAAGGAAATGGCCTAGTAACATTGCTTTGACAATATAATTTTGAAAGTGCTATGCATCCCATACAATGCAATATTTATTTAATGCAAAATTTAAGTAAGTTAAGTAGAGAGTACTTGCTCCTATATAAGGAACCTATGAGAGTCACCACTTGATTATGAGTTCATACATCAATAAGATGAAGCATAAGATAGTCATTATTAACCTCTAATACTAACGAATTTTAGTTTGGAGGGAAAAGTCGTCTTAAATAATTTCAGCCATCTTCCCTCATCATCTTAACATCTTCAGAAATAACGGCTTTATGCCTTCTTCAATGCTCGTTCACTCTTCGCTCATCTTTTGTGAAATAGTATACGTTTTCTATCTGAATACATATACTATTTCAAAAACACGTCTCCTTTAATGTTGTCTAGATAAATGCATCTTAGATATCCTAAGATCCGTCATCTGAATGCGTCTTCTTAAAATCGCCTTTTTTGATAAATTTCATCCTTAAGCATCATCTTCTTTCTTCTTAGAATGGTTCACGTCTTTTAAAACAATAATCCGTTAGTCAAATCGGAAGAAATTTCTCAATTCGCGAAAAATTCTAAATCATGAATCATCAGAATCGATGTTACAAAGGCTTTCAATTTTCTTCCTGGATATTCTGAATCTGCTTTTCTGCTTCTTTTTTCTCACCTTTCGTTTGTTCCGTCTTTGCTTTCTGTATCAGTGTCTTCGTCATGAGATTTTCTGACTTCTGCTTTTCAACCTTCTTCAGTGGTCTCTATAGTTTCTTCGTCTCCAGTGGTTTCTTTTACTTCTTTGTTGCAAGGTATTTTACTGAAGTTTTTCTAGCGGAATTAGCATTTAATTCAACATAAACTCTGAACTGAGATTGTTCTTTGGGAAAATGTGTGTTTTCAGATTCTCCTTCTGCACTTGTGTTTCTCCTCGGATGGCTTCGAATCCAAGTGTATTGCGTTTCCTTGAGCTTGCACTAATTCGTGATTCAAAGTGTCATTTTCACTGACCAATCTGTAAAGCACGTATGTCATTTTGTAAGCAATAATCTTTATATGGCCTAGACTTATTTTATAACTTTTATACTTTCATCAATTTCTTGAGCTTGAATTATCTTAAATGTTATATCAACTTGAATTGTCATGCATACAGGGTTTCTACTCAAAGCGTCAACATGTCACATACGGGTACCAGATCTGTGTTCGATTGTGTAATCGTAATCTTGTAACATTAATGCCGGCTTAAGTTCAGGAGAACATACCTTCTTATCTATCTTCTCGAATTAAATTTACTTGATTACTAATATCTATTAAAGCATCGATTTACAATTTACCTAAATTAACAGTTTTATGTATTTCTTTCTGATAAGTCTGAGTAATTGGAGTTAAAGTCTTTGCATCTTGGATATTTTTAGAAGACGTTTAGGAATAACTCACGGCTTTGTGCCCAAATAAATTTCATTTAAGATACTTAAATCCTTTACTCTGATTATTACATGAGTTCGATTTATGACCTTTACTTCCACAATTATAACACCTTGGCTCTTTACTCTTATTAGGTATAGTGCATGTTTTATTTTCTGTGTTAGTACTTGAATGACCCACATTCTTCGTATCTGGAATGCGAATTTTGTCATATATTTTTAATTTTTCTTTAAATTCAGAAATGGTTTTACACCCATACAACAACAAAAATATCGCTACTTGGGTAGGGTATTCATTAATTACATAATCAAGAATAGATGAATCATCAACAGAACCACGATTGACTATTTCTCGCATTGCAATTAAAAACACGAAAAGGGATTCACTAGGTTTTAAATGTTGTTTCTATAATAACTACAGTCAAAAGTCGCTAATTCGGAAACCCATAATCCGGACCTCAAAGCTACAAACTTTCTGCGCATGCATCGCGTTGACGCATGCGCGTAAAACCATTACGGCTGCGAATACGCGTGTGCAAAATACGTTTACGAATGCGCGTTTAATGTATAACGGACAATATAAGCTAAGCTAAAATTATCTAATTCAGTTAATGTTGCAGATTGCGTTGTTCCTTAATCTTCGAATTGGATTCGGCTTATTATTTTTTGCAGACTGTTAGAGCAATTTTATAAAAGTAAGCTTGAACTTTCGATTATGTCAAATAGAATTTCTGATATATATTTACTAATATGTAAAGCAGGGATGTCAAACTCATAGGTACACTTGGGCCAAACAAACAAGGTTTGACTTTAGGCGGGCCGAAAAAAAAAATCAATATTCATAGAAACGTAGATTTATTTCGAATAATACAATAATAAACATATATATATATATATTTATATAGAAAAGAACAAGAAAAATTTAATGTTTACGTCCTGATACTTGACATCTCTTCTCTGCTATTATCTTTCCTATTTCGGGAGAAATTTTGTTTGCAGTGATAACTTTCAACGCTGACCCAAGGTGAGCATCATTAATACGGTTTCTAATAGGAGACTTATTACCTTTTATGACTGAAAATAACTGCTCGCACCGATAAGTGCTACCAAACATGGAAATAATTTCATGTGCGAATTTTCGAGTATTTTCAAACCTGGCTGGTAAATATTTGTAAAATTCAGGCACGCCCACTTCAATGAATTTTGCCTTCAAATTTGAGTTGCATTGAATTTTGATCACCTCCATTTGCATATGGCTGGGTACTGAGTCAATACTTATTGAGAAAAATCGAAGAAAACAAAAAAAAAAAAAAAAAAAAAAAAAAAAAAAAAAAAAAAAAGATTGTCTTCGAGGGAACTAAAATCATTAAACCTCGTTTCAAATTCAGTTGTTAAATTTGCAATTTTTTCTGCGTATTTTTGATACGAACAAGTATCATCTAAACTTGATTTGTTCATGCTGCACGTCGGGAAGTGCGTCAACTCTTCATTTTTAAGTTGTTTTTCCCAAAGAACTAGTTGACATTTGAATGCTTTAATTATGTGAAACATGTTCGTAATGATATGATCTTTTCCTTGTAACGATAAATTTAAATCGGTTTTAAGTGTTTGGTTATATCAACCAAGAAAGATAAATCTTGTATCCATATTGGATCGTAAAACAAACTTACGTCTTGATTTTTCGTTTTTAAAAACTGACATATTTCTTCTTTCAAATCCCAGAATTGTTTCAGAATCTTGGAGCAAGATAACCAACGTACCTCGGTCTAGTAGGACAAATCCGAATATTCACTATCTAACTCACTTAAGAAAGCAGTGAATTAAACCTCGAGATCTTATAAAATTTATAACTTTTTTTATATATGACAAAACATTCTCCATATTTACTTTCGTGCATAGAACTTCTTGATGTATAATACAATGCATATGATGAATGTTTGAGCCGTGAATTTCACTAAGTTTTTTTCTTAGTAATGCTACGAAGCCCTTGTTTTTCCCGGTCATTGATGGAGCGCCATCTGTAGCTACAGAATTTAATTTTGCCAAAGGTAGATTGTATTTCTGCAGAAGTCCAAAAACACAAGTAAATATATCTTCTCCTGTGGTAGTACCAGGCATCGGTATTAGTTCCAGTAATTCCTCAAAAATGATAAAATTCTTGTCACAAGAACGAAGAAACACTGCTAATTGAGCTTTGCCGCTAATGTCCGTCACAGAAAATGGCGCTTTCGAAACTAGATGATTTTGCTTTGATCTGATCACTTAAATTCGCGGCTAAATCAGTAACTCTTTCCGCAACTGTATTTCGAGACAATGAAATTGATTGATAAGTCTTCACATTTCCAGGACAAACAATTTCTCCAGCTTTCATTAGGCATTCCTTGATGAAATCACCGTCAGTAAAAGGCTTTGAATATTTAGCTATCAACTCGGACAAGACGTAGCTTGCATGTACCGCCGCTTCACTTTCTTGCAATACTTTACTAAACATGGATTCTTGCTTTTTCACTCCTAACTTGAGCTCTTTCAACTTTTCTTCTCTCATTAATCCTTCGTAATTGTTATATTTCGATTTGTGTTGTTCGTAATGATGTTTAATATTATATAACTTTGCTACATTACTGAATGTAATTTGCCTAGCATTTTGTTCGTACATGCGCCATCAGCATTATATAAGAATAATATGACAACATTTTAATTCTAAAATGATGCAGCTTAAAGAGTTACGAAAGTTTGATTTTAGTATATTGCCTGTATATAACAGCGAGTTTCACAACCATAGCTCAATTTTTTAATTGGTTGCATATATATTTTTATAATAGAATGTATTATTTTAGTATTACCTACAATATTTTGAAAGAATGTTTTTAATGTCCTTCTTTTAGATTTTACTATTGCTGATGAGCTTGATAGCTGGAACCATGGCTTCAGTATACTATCATCCGTACCATCATCACCATCACAAACTGCAGTACTACCACCACCATCCTTACCACAAGCATCATCATTATGTAGAACATCCATTTTATCACTACTTGAAACATCATCATTACCATCACCCTCACAAGGGCTATCCTTACTATTACGATCACCACTATCATCACAAACATCACCACCATTACGATCCATATGGTAAATACTACTATCATCACCATCATCACTAAAGTTTGAATCTTTTAGTGACCATCTTCAAGGATTTTTATTAAGCTACAACAAGTAGAATATCTGGAAGTTGTGCAAGCAGAATATCTTGGTGTGCATTTTGTTAAAGATCCTTTAATTTGCAATAAAGTTTAATTTTGGTATAGAGTTTTGAAATGTGTTATTAAACACAAATTTAGCAAAGCTTTGATTGGTCAATAAGTTCAGTTTTTCTTTAGATCAAATCTACTGAATGCTGTTAATTTTAAAAAAATTAGCATTATCATTTAAAGTGTTACTAATTTTGTAGCATGAAGCTTACAATATTAATAAATGTTTTAAATTTGTAAGATATTGAAAATTAGTATTAGCAGAATGAAAAAAAAAAAAACTTTCAGCTTAATTTTGCAAGTCTGAAATAAATTTATTGAAACTGTTTTTCACAACAAAATTACAAGAACATGTACTGAATATAGGAATTATTCTGAAACATATTGCACTTAAATATAGTACACTCGGAGTTAACTGAGGCAATATCATGATGTCCATGGTTAACTGAAAATTTCAAACAATGTGAGACCAGTTAAAGTAGTTAAAAAAAGGGGGAATGTTGCACTTCCTTACATTTATCTCCCCCTTTTTAATAAATTTTGTCATCTGAAAAATGAAAGGGGAAACTTATGCAAGTAATTTAATTTCTGAAGAACACGGTTACAGTAAAAACAAAAGAAATGAAAAGGAGTCATGGCTAAATTACTGGTAACTATCACAATATTATTTCTATAAGAGAAACCTACAATCCAATAAGAATACATAGTAGTATTAACATTACATATCTGATAGATATTGAGCTGATAACTGATGGCAATTGAGAGGGACATGTCATACAGACAGTAATGTGTCCAGCTCGATTTCCTTGCAAAGCCCAGGGTAAACTCACATGAATGAATTTGAATTTTTAACCACCGTTTCCAAGAGGGACATAGGAGGAACAAAGAAGAAAGTTAATTGAACAAAAGATCCAGATTCTGAAGGATCAGACACAGCAGCTGTAGCTAAGGCTATAATAAACTGCAACATAAATAAAAGAAGGTAAAGTAAAATCACATGTTAAAAGTTTTTCAAGTAGAAGAACACCTGCTACATCCTGCTAGCTCCACGAAGATTCTTCACAAAATATGTTTCAAATAATAAATGCAATGAAAAATAAAATGAGGAAAATGCTAATAGAAAATGAATACACTGAAAATCAAAATAATCAAGGGAATACAATTTGCCAATAAAGTATCTTTCAGCAGGAAAAGGCTAAGCACAATATACAAAGGGTAAATTACTTGAATAATAATAATAATAATAATAATAAAATAAATAAAAATAAAATAAAATAAAAATAAAAAAAAATAAAAAAAAAAATAAAAAAAAAATCAAGAAAAATACTAGATGGAAAATTTGTGAAAAAATATGATAATCCACATTATAACTAACTGTAAAGTACTGTTAACAATTTACCTGAACTGCAAGAGTTTCAGTTATGAGAAAAATTTCATTTCACTTCATAAATTAAATCAAAATCATTAAATCATAAAATCCTTAAAATAATTCCATAAATTAAATCAGTTTTCAAAGCAAAATGAATACAATGTAAATAATACAAGAATGCACACCATCTGAAATGCAGAAATTTAATTATACATGACATTAAAGAACGATATTTACAAAAGGAGGTAAATGATGTTAATGAGTTCAAACTGATGTTAAAAAGTCATGCTTTGTTGTTTATTGTAGGTTTATACAATTTGAATTATGCACAATTAATTAAATTACATACTGTTACATATAATATACTCCAAAAAATATAATGATAACATCTGCTATCATTGCTGCTACCTACTTTTCTTAGCATTGTTTGTAATTTTTGTTAACAGTTGTATTACGTTGCTGGTTTATGATATTAATTTTTCCTTCACTCCACAGTAAACACTCTTAGATTATTTTTAGGTAGAGTCTGGTTCATTTGCATCCCAGTTAACTGAGAGTCGACTTCAAGCAACTTATTTCACTTTCAAGAAATGATAAAATTAATTAAAATTTTCCTTCAACTTTAGAGGATTCTGTAACAAGTCAACTATTTTAATAAAAACTGACTGTACCTGTAAATTAAACTGAACCAAAGAAAACGGATGAAATATGCTTGAAATACATGGATTTTTATATATATACTACATACATACAGAAATTTAAAAAACAGCATATTGAATATGTTCTTTCATTGATTATAAATTACATGGCATACAAAATTAAACATATTTACAAAATTTACATATTATTATATATACAAAATTTATACATTTACAAGCATAATTCAAGCATTTTAATACAAATTAGAAACCTTAATATTTACATATTAAACAGAAATTTTATCTCACATTATGTCTTCATATTTGAGGTTATTCATTTAAGGCTTCATCATGAAAAATTATGCATTTTTTATTTATACAAATTATCTGGAAATCTAAGAGCTAGTTAAAATCAAACTGTATATGAAATTTTTACAGAAATGCATAATATGTTGAATCTACATACATTACCAGGTACTAAATAATTATGAAAATAATACTGATAAAACTTTTGTAATTTCAAAACTTATGAATAACTAAACAAATACAAGCAAATATGTGGCTACATGCCATTAAACAGGAAAATTAACTTACAATAAAATATACAGGATGTATTATAAAAACATTTAAAAAAATTAAATATCATTAGAACTCATGTTTATTATTTAATGAAGATAACTTTTAAAAATTATTATAAGGATGGCAATTTACGTAAACATTAATTAACTACTTAATAATTTGAATAATATTTTGTTTAACAACACAAAATCTTATTCAAAACGTTTTTTTAGAGGGGGAATAATTGGAAACAAATATAAAATTTGAAATACAATCAAAAGTACAAATGAATTAAGTTTACAGAGTTCTTATTGTTGAAAGTAATTTCTAAACACAAAAATGATTTATTTAGTATATCAAAGTGCCACTCACAGAAACTGAAAAAGTTGTATTTTAAAACATTCATCCCCCCCAAAAAAATCACCCAGCTTTCAATAATAAGCACAGCTATAGCACATATATTCGAACAGATGTTCAAAATTAATTTATCATTCCATAAAAATGTTTCATACAGATGTATGTCCAAGATAATTTACTATTTACTGTCATAATTACATGGCAATTATCAAATCCCACAATGCATTGAGAAATTAAGTAAAGAAAATACCTGATAAATTTGTTAGTATTGTTTGCACTTATTTGAGATTTCTTTAGTTTTGGTTTCAGTTTCTTGGCTCCATAGTTGGTCTTTTGGCTTAGTTCTGGCCAAGTTGCAGTTTTCAGTTTGTGGAGTTTTCTCTGTGAGTCTCAATTTCTATTTCAGTTTAGTGTTTAATTATTTTATAAAACATATCTGGTTCATGTTACTGTTGGTTACTTAGAAAGCTAAAGCATACATTAATTCAGAAGTCAAACAACAAAAATCAGCATTATATTTTCAAATTTTCACAGGACTAGTTTCGATGGTTTTACCGAACCACCATCATCAGCTGCAAAAGCGTAAATGAACAAGATAGGATATAATAGTCAGATATCCTATCTCGCTGAGAGAAAATATAACACTGATTTTTGTTGTTTGACTTCTGAATTAGTATTTGTTCGGCATGTTATTGTGTCTTAATTAGAGCATATGTTGTTTACTCAGTGTTTATTTATTTCTTGGGAGGTTGCGTACACTTTATTACAAAGTTAGAGAAATGGGTTGTAGTGATACTTCACTCTTGCTGTTTGACGTTTGATTTTTCTTTTTTCTTGGGGGGGGAGGGGGGTAGTTAGAGCTGCATTTAATTATTTTTTTTACTTTAATTTGTTTAACTTAATGCTTACTTTGTAAGTAAACTTATAATTATTTATCACTGATCTCCATGAAAACTAGTTTTGATGATTAAAATATAAGTACGGCATGTAGCTAATGTATTGGAATATGCTGTTTTTCTGCAAAAAAGTTTTGTTGAACAATTTTGTGTCGCAAATTTTAACTGTAATAATGTAATCTAATTAGTTACTATTAAGGTTTCCATTTAGCTGAAACTATTCTGTGACTAGTTTAGTGGATATTTATTTTTGGCAGTTAAAAGATTTTTTGTTTTTCGATGCTTAGATTTTCTCACGAAAGAGAGCATTTTTTTCAGAACATCTTGGCAGAAGAGGGGGTTTCTGTGTTCCCCAACTGATTGTGAATAGCATTTATGATGAGAGAGAGCTGCTGTAGTAATTTTTCATTGTGCTACAGGAGATTTTGTTTACTGTGTGATAAAGGAGGATTTAATTGGCCTCTTTGCTTCACTTTTGTGAATGTTGAAAATAATGGATAAATGAGTTTTTTGAATGGAGGGGCATCTGTAAACTCTTTTTTTAAGGGTAGCAGTAATTTTATCTCTTGTTGTTCTCCATTGTTAAAAGGGGTCGAATTTTGTTATGTACTTGTTTGGGTTGACTCACTTGTTGCAGGTGTCCAACTGATGTCTGTGCAACTTTTCTATTTCTATCAGGCAAGGATGGCAATACCCAATAATAGAAGTTTTCTATTTGTTGGGAGGAATTAAAGAAATGATTTTTAAAAAAAGAGAGAAAATTCTTCCGGTTGGTCAAACTTAATTTTATGTTTAATTTTCTGGTGGGTGGAGAAAGAGTTTTCTTTAAGGCTTGTGTAGGAGTTTAGAGTCAGTTTTGGAGTTTTGGTTTAAGTTTGGCCTAAAATCTTCTAGTAAGAAAAAGTAGAACTGGGGCCAGCTTGTCTTGATGTGAGCTGGTTTTTTTTTTTTTTTTTTTTTCCCCGACTGGAGACTATCGTGCCTAAGGAGTGGAACCAGCGCTCTCTCGCTACGGGCTCTAACTGGTTGGGCGGCCGTGAGGATGAATGACTACAGCCCTACATTCTATTTCAAATAAAAATGAAATTTAGCACATATTTAAATGCGAAAATTTTCAATGTTCCTGATGTTGCTCTCTAATACTTGCAGTACAGAGGGCCAACATGCCTTTTTGAAATAACTGTTGATTAAGAAATAAAACAAAAATGTGTTAGAATAGAAATTTTCCGGCAGAGGCTTTGTGCTCAGAGTTATCTACTAAATTTATTCTTCTTCCAAAATTTGCATATAAGCAAAACATGGAATGAATGCATGTAAGCAGACTGTTGACTGAAGTAGATATTTTTGCACCTTCCGAAAAGAATCCGTTAAAGAAGTTGATGTTGTTTTTCAATTGTGGGTTTCTGTGAATTTTTTTAGGCCATCAAATGAAATAAGCAGGACTATCTGTTGGATTTAAAACTTCCTAATATCCAGGCAAGGATGGTAATACCCAGTAATAGAAGTTTACTGAATGGACTTCACCCTGTGAGTGATAATTTTTATTCATGCCTTTTTTTTATTTAAACAGTGACTAAGTAATGATCAATTAAATTAATATACATGTAAACTAAGTGATTAGAAATTTTAAGTAATGACCAGTTACTTTAATGTGAATGTAAATGAATGAATAGAAAAGTTGTTTAACCATCTAAGTTTGTGAACTATGGAAGGTAAAAGTACTATTACAATAAGATTAATATGTATAATGAGGGTATTTTATGTAGTGAATTGAAAGTTACATGTTTAAATGCATGTTAAGAAGAATATTGTAGGGAACTTGATCAGTTAATCTTCCCAGTTACTTGAATGTTTATTTAATCTAGAAAATTAATAAATATGTTAGTGATTTAATATGTATTATTTGGTCTGTCCAGTCACTCCATTTGTTTGAGTCCATGGCTTTTAAAACACATTGGACTAATTAACTTAGGTTAACTATTTTTGTGAGTTAAAAATTATGCAATGCTTTTTATGTTATAGTACTAATACCTTCTCTGGACACTTGTTATTACTACAAATGATGAATATTGATGAATTATTTGGTTATTTGAATGTGCCGAGGAACTATTTAAACTATTGAATTTTATTTTTATGGGGAACTGATTGATTGACATGTATGAATATTTCTTCTCTGGGTTTTGTGAGGTTTTGAATTAATGGAATTTAACAGTTTTGCTGTCACTGGAGTTATTATGAAATTGATTAAATATTTAGTTTATGTGATTTGAAGGGGTTTTTTATATTTTTTATTTTATAGATAGCATTCTTATTATCCGAACACCAGTAAAGATTTATTCTTCTTTAATTTCAGGTTAATGATTTAATAAGTGTAAATTTGAATTTTGATTTAATTAATTGATTTTAAGGATATGTTTATTAATTTAATTTGGGTTTAGATCAATCACACAGTTCCTCCAGCATAGTATAGGCATATCAGAATTTCCATTTTAATTTTAGTCGGTTACCAAGTTTCCTTATTTTTATGGCACCAGCGAAAATCAAGTTAAATAAGACAACCATTTAGTTTGCAAAACACCTAAAACTATGTCATACAAAATTCTTCATTATTTAACACCTAGGGTACAGATTCTGAGAATTTTAAATCTTATTATTGTAAAATATACATACATATATTGAAATTAAACTATGTTAAATAATCAAATTATAAACCTTCCAAGTATAACATATATGCAAAGGAAAACGTTAAGAACCAGTTTTATTATATATATATATATAAAACTTTAGCAAAAGTGAAGTAGCTAGGGCAAATGGGCAAAATATTCAAACAGTCGGATTGAGCTATTTTTGCTCTTGTCAGGGAAATGGACAAAAAAAAAAAAAAAAAAAAAAAAAAAAAAAAAAAAATTACGATTGAGCATAAAAACCATTGTTGTTGGGTGGACATTAAAAAGGATCACACAAGTTTAATTGGTTGCAGGTTTTGGTGACATGCAACCACAACTGTACAAAATAAATCAAAAACAAATTCAAAAAAGTCAAATTTTGAAGTGACCATGTTCAGGTAGAGGGTGATTATAATTAAAGTTGTAATTTCAAAATTCTTTAATTTTAAAACTACTTGTCAAAATAACTTGATATTTTACTAGAACAATCGTGAGACAATGGCATTGTTGTTTGGCGAAGGGAAAAAATAGTTTCAAAATATACCGATAGATGGTGCTGTCAAGGTTCCCGTTGCTGTTGGTATGCAAATTACTAAGACATAACATGCACACTGCAGACATAGCTAAGATAAAAGTGCAGAGCCCTAACGACAACATAACATTTTGCCTGAGTGTTTCATCATGACTCTGACGAAGAAAGATCATGCTCTTTCTCATAAAGCTTTCCTATTAGAATGGTGACTGTGCGTTAACAGCTATCTGGAAGTTCTGGACATTAAAAGGCATAAAATCCAGCCCAATGACCACATATGGCCTGCAGAAAATGATAGATAAATTTAATCTTGCTAACCTGAAAGCACGTGAATCATTTGCATTACAATTTCTTGCCCGGACAGAAGTGGCTAATGAATGGCCTTGGAACATTCTGTGGTCTGACAAAGATCATTTCCATTTGCAAGGTTCTGTAAATACGCAAAACTGCAGGACATGGGCGACGAAGAATCTGTTCCCGCTACAACCATTACCTCTTCACTCTGAAAAGGTCACTGTGTGCAAAATAATGGCAGCATTTGTCATTGGTCCATTCTTCTTCGAGGAAATTACATCTGTGGTCCCATTACCTACGCAGTTACTGGCAAGTAGTATGAAGCACTTTTGCATATGTCCTTCCAGCACTTCAACTACGTCAATATATGGATCGCACTTACTCACACAAGATGGCACTCCTTCAAACATTGCTACTCGTGTGAAGCTGCTGCTGATCGCTCATTTCAGAGATGATAGAATCATAAGCTGTCATTTTTTAAGTCATGCGGCTGTCACGCTCTCTTGACTTAAAACCGCATGACTTTTGGGGATATCTGAAAAACGTTGTTTACAGTGGGCGGATTGCGAATCTGACCCACTTGAAGGCAAGCATCATGCACCACATTCATAGCATCAGCACACATACCCTCTGATTTGTTGTGGAACATGCAGTTTTGCACTCCCAATTAGCAGTGGAACAAGGAGGAGAGCATATCGAACAACTTTTGCATTAATCATCTGTAAGGTGTTTGTTTCGTGAAACTTCTCTTGTCACTATCGCTGTTTTCTCTGCAAATATGTAGCTTTGTCATTTTGCTAATAAATTGTCGCAAACCCTTGGAGTCTGTTGTTTCCTTTCAGCTATACATCCACAACAGCAATGTGAACACTGACAGCATCATCTATTGACAAATTTTGAAACTATTTTTTCCCCCTTCACCAAGCAAAATTCCATTATCTCAGGATTGTTCTGGTAAAATATCAAATCATCCTGACCTGTAGTTTTAAACTTAGAGCATTTTGAAATCGCAACTTTAATTATAATCACCCTGCATATTTAAAATTTAATAGCTCTAGGCATCACTGTTTTTCTGCAGTATGAAGAATATACATACATATAAACATATTCTTCATCATTTAATAGTAGAGATAACATTAATTGTTTACAGGTTAGTAGTTTAAATATGAATTTTCTTATATTTTTGGAGAGGATTGATTTGTACTTTTTAAAATTTTTCTGGGTTTTAGAAATTATTCCAATTAATTAATCACCTGTAGTAGCATTCTTATAAAATTAAAAGTTCAATTAAATTCCACAACAACAGTTCAATATAAGTTGTACAACTGTTCAAGTGAAAAAAATATAGTAGCAATATATAACAGCCATTGTTTATTTAATAATCACACAAGTGAAAATAGATCCACTTATTTTCTTACTATACTTTTCATTCAATATGAATAAAGTTCAAATAAGCTTTCAATTCTTCATTTTCTTGGAACTAGTTGTCTCACATTCGAACACTTGTAAGGAATGAGTTTCAGATAACATAGTACTCATAAGATTATCCACTAGGGGAAAAAAGTTTTTTTTTTAATTTATAAAATAAAACTTGAAGGCAACAAAACATAGCTCCATAAAAAAAAATCAAAATTGAAAGATGCATCAACCAGTTTCAAAAATTAAAAATGAAATTAATTTTTTTCCTACTAAAAAACAAGGTGAATTATTAAGCTAGTGACAAACATAAGCTTGGGGGTTGGAGTATAACTACAGTAAACTGGTCCATGTTTTCTGTACAGTCTCCTTTTATCTGTACAAGTTTCTGAATGTAGGGAACTATGCTTGGGAGCCAATCACATTGAACAAAGAGGTGATAAAATGACTGTGATGTATGTTCGTATGAATAACAGGCACAAAACAGCTGATAGGCATAGTCAATTGTTATTATAAATGAAAGTACATGAATAAGAAGCATATATAAAAATCATACAGCAGATGCTGCTAAATGTGATCAAAGTTAATGTTATCATTCAGATATTGTTATCAATTTGTCAAACTCCCATCTCCATTTTTATTTCTCAAATTATTTACTAAAACTGCTATAATCCTTTATATATATGTAACCCAGATATGACTTTCAAACCCAATGAAAACTCTACACCTAAATGTGGCAAATCCTTCTCAAATTTGATTCTCCATGTCTGGTTCCTTTCCTTCTACCCCAGAGTTCTTTTGTTCAACATTTGTTGCTTACATTCCCCAAAGGCCAGATATGAAGCAAAGAAAACTCTAAAGCAGTCTTCGGCAACCTGTGAATCGCAGGTCAACGAGTGACCCATTTATCAGTCCTCTTTAATGAGTGACCCTTCTAGAGTTCCGAAAATAGGGCAGTGAAAGTTATATATGTGAAAGTTAATCATAAAACATAAATATGAAAGAAGCACTTCATGAATCCATTAAAAAAATAAATAATAACATTAATATTTTGTTCGATTACAAAGTTACAGTAGCAAACATGGATTTTTATTTTTAAAAAATAAAAAGTGCAACATAATTTCAAGGAAAATTTGATAAATTTGCCAATGTCAATCCCTAATTAAAAAAAAAGGGCTTTGCCATTTTGTCTGCATTCGCTTCAACTTAAAAATGTGAGCAAATATTTTCACACATGAAATTTATTTTAAGTATGAACAGTAGCAGCTTAACTACAGAAAATTTTTAGATTCTTATATTTGAGAGACAACTAACTATAAGCCACACTTGACTAAATTGACACCACAAGTTCAGCATCAGGGGGGAACCAATGATATCAAATAATTTAGATAAAAATAAAGTGAATTCAGTTATTTTGTTTTTATAATAATTAAAATTATAATTTTATGACTATTCTAAAATGAAAATACCACTGAACTAAAATACAAATATATTCTTAATGCACATATTTTGGTTGATTTTGTTGACCCGCAGCCGAAAAAGGTTGCTGACACCTGTTCTACACAGACATTTACAATCTGGCCAGAATACTAGATATTTAGACAGAAGTTTACTTTACTGTACTCAACCAGATGATTCACACTATGCATATTACTCCTAGCAGCATCTCCTCAGACAGGATATAAATAGTGATAGCCAATGCCCATTGTTGAAATGAGAAAATATAGATGACACTGCTTTGCAGAAGGATGCATGTAATGTAGAAATTAAACGAGGAACAGCATATCAGTTCATTAGGCAGTATGACTCCCAGAAGGTCAGTCCATGTTATAATAGGACATTTGTAGATGTGTATATAAAAGACATAATAAATGATAAAGAACCATCTGATGCTTTGTGTCCCTGTTCGGCCGCCTTTGTTTTAATGGTGTTTTCATAGCCATTATCCCCCTATATATATTCCTAATATTAAAATTAATTCTTTAGGAATCAGCTATAGTTATGGATTGGCTGAATAGTTCACCAGTCTCATTCTTCTAGCCATAGTTCAGCACATAATGTTAATAAACAAATTTAAATTTTTTTTAAATATTATTTACTCGTAAGGGTATCACATTATTAGAAACTACAGTAATGTAGAATAGGATGGGAAAGGTGACTGGCACATTCTGCATTTAGAATTCTTAGGTCTTAATTTAGAATAATTTTAGATCAAGTGCTTTTATTACTTGGAATTCTTTATTTTATATCTTTTTAAATATTTGAGATTTATAAGTTTTTTCCTAAGGCATATTTAAAAATACATTTCTGCTAGCATGAAAAACTAAACAATAATATAATAGGATCAATGCATATTTTTATATCTTTCTAATTAAAAGTACAAATTTTTGTAAAAGATATTTGGTAACAGAAGTTTTATTTATATATTTATTTAAAATATATAGCACCTGTTTTCTAAACAATATTGCATTTTCCCCATTTAATTTTATACCTTATTTAAAACTTTTCATAAAATATTATTTAAAAACTATTAAAACTAATTTTAAAATATTATTTATTCATAAAATGTTATTTATACCTATTTAAAACTTTTCAAAAAATGTAAAAACAACCCAAGTACCAACCTAACAAAATTTGATAAAACCATACAACATAATTCAATCTTAGAATAAATTATAATATTTATAACAAAATTTATTCTTTTAATACAAGATAATACTGAACCATGACTGGTAACTATTAATGTATTACCCTCCACCATAGTTGTTATAAAAGATGTAATTTTACACAAAATATAAAACATCATTTTGACAATCTAGAAATTACTTACAATGAGGATATGTTCTCCGTTGTACATTGCAACAACAAATGAGGAAATTACTGATTTTGCTAAAGTCACGCTCTACAGCTTGAAGTTTCTCTAAACTAAAATTAAAAAATAAAAAATACTGAACAGAAGTTTTAAACATAAATTGAAATAATAGCAGTCAAATAATAACAATCTCTACAGTTTGAATTTCCAGCAAACTAAATTAAAATACTATACTTACCTAAATACAGGGTAAGATGGGTGTTTTTTCCCCAAATTTTTAATCCAAATTAAAATTTGGGCTGTCTTAAATTGTGTATTAACAAAATGTTAGGCTGTCTTAAATTTGCGTATTAACAAATGTACCTAAAAATGCTTCCATTTCCAAGTACATGGAATAATATCTCACACAAAATACCTTCATGTATTCATAACAGGAAATATAAATGAATTTTCTTTCGGAATTCATTTGTAGGAGTGAGATGTTAGGTTAGATTATCTGAATATGGCAAAGCCACGAGGCTATCAGCCTAAGATGAAAGATGCCTTCATGGAGAACTTTCTGAGGAAAACTGGCTCTTGTTCATATTATATACAGAGAAAACTGTAAAAGCAAATCATGAATGCCAGACCATTCACCTGAATTCAAACTCAAAACAGATCAAACTACTAGAATTCAGTGTCTTAACTACTCAGCCACTGGTGTGGTCTAAAACTGGAAGGAAGTGACAATGAGTACAGTAAAGCTAGCATAAAAACCACTATCAGAATATATAGAAACAAATCCTATATTTTATTATTTCATTTCCAGAGGATGACATTTTTCCAAAAATGTCATAAGTACAGAAATCACATCCCAATTCATGTTGTAGAGCCATAAAGCAATATTTATTTCTATACGCTTAAGAAGAAAAATATCTCCAAAATTAAATTTTTTGCGAGTCATTAAAAAATAGAAGTCATCTTAAATTCAAGATTATATTATATTGGAAAAAGTATGCTAATGTTATTCAACATTATCTCTACAATTTGAAGTTCCCCTCAAGTAAATTAAAATAATATTATTGAATACAATCTCAACACCTTAAACTCCCTCATATACATGCACATATATATATAAAAAATATATATATATATAAACGTTTTAAATATAAGTTTAAATATTGAACACAACCTCAAAGTTTTTTCCCCCCTCTCCAATCAATAAATAAAATTTAATCACGCACATTAAATAACAATTATATTCAAAGCTCTTTTTAGTTTATAAAAGTAAGTAGTATCATTGAAAAATTATGCATTATAGACCATATTGATTTAAGAAAGGTAAAGCTAAGCTACTGATGAAAGCTTTCTCTCATAAAAAGTCTCTCCCTCTCTCTATATATACATATACACTACTTGACATTGAAAATACAACACCAAGAAGGAGTGGCCTGAAAATTGCGCAAATTTCAGGTAGAGGCATGTAAATAAGTTATGCAAATGATGCAAAATGTACAGCTCTCCAGTGCATAATGAAGAAGTTATAAGGGAAGAAACCTGCAGAATGTTCAATTTTCATACTTCATTTCTGCTGCGGAAATCATCATAGAAAATTTGTTTTTGTCTCAGAGGACATGTGCATACTTGCCAACCTATGACACTCAAAAATCCGGAGATTTTTTTAAAGAAATTAGGAGATTTTTCACAATGTTAAAAAGACTTTTTAAATGTTATAAAAATATAGTTTTTAATAATGAATTAACTTTAAATAGTTACTAATTCTTAAATGCAAGCAACACAAAAATCCCTTGCACATAAAAAACATTTTTATTACTTGCAACGTTTAAGGGAGGAAAAAAAAAAAAAAAAAAAAAAAAAAAAACAGACAGTTTAATTTGTTTTTGTACAAATGTTATGAACACTGGCAGATTTTACTTTTGTTAAAAAAGAAATTTCATAATTTTGTTCATAGCAATTGCCACATAGGCCTGCTTTCGCTAATAAAAGTTTTTCTAATGTGTCATCACTAATATTAGATCTAAATTTAGTTCTCGTTTTCGCAACAACACTGAAAATCCTCTCACACTCCGCATTACTATGGGGAACTGTCAAGATGGCCAACATAATTCTAGATAGTTCACTATATTTTAAAATTCTATCAGCACCTTTCAGTTTTCCAATTAAACTCCACTGGGTGTCAATCCTAGATGATTTTATAACTTCATCCAAGTTTTCTAATTGTAAACTGCAAAACTGCAACTGCAATATCATCATCTTTCATGACTAAATGAAGTAACACAGGAAATCTGTTCAAAAAGTACCTTATATCAGAAAAAGATGCATTTGCTAGAGCAGAAACATCAGCAACTTTAGCATGCAAAATCACTTCATCGTCGACTGGAAATTTATGTAGTATGCTATGATTATGTAGTATCCAAATAACAGCCTTGAGCTTGCTTTGTGCTCATTGGCTAATATCTGCCTGATGACACGCAGTGGAGCTCGATGTCCATTGGAGAACTGGAGAATGACGTTTCTGGATACGTATGCTCTCACTCACAAAGCGGAAATTCTCATCCGATTCGCAAGGTTTTGTTTAAGATATAATCTAGAGATAATTCAATTGCTTTCAGGCGTCCAAAATCACTTATTTTTGTTCATATAACGAAGTATTAAGCCATCCATAAAAATCGTGATAAATTTTAAGAATAAGAAAAAGTCGGGAGAAATATATTGTAAACCGGTCGAAAATCAGGAGTCTCCCACTTAAATCGGTAGAGTTGGCAACTCTGCATGTGTAATAGCAGAGAACGCTAGGCCGACACTAACGGAGGCAGTTCTAGCAGACAGACCATTTTAGGGGGGGACATGGTGATTGGACTGAGAAGGGCAGGTTGGTCCATATGGCAAATCTCAGCTGAGAGACACCTGGACGCATCACTAATGCACTGGCTGTGATGACAATGTTTGGAACAAGGAAATGTGGCAAATTCGAGGGGTGCAGGTGCAGACAAAGTGAGGTCAGCACGCATGTGGCACACCCATAAGCCACTTCTGCCTGTATTCTGCAACATATATGAGACACCCTGATGTTAATATATTGACTAGAACCATTTGCTATCAATTGCTAGTGGTAGCTAGTGGCTTGCACTTGTGGCTTCCGTTAAGAAGACTGCCACCATTGACTCCACATCAACCAATGTCTGCTATGGCCAACGTCTGCTATGGTTATTGGTCTCGATGTGGATGATGGAATGGCACAGGTTTGTGATCTCAGAAGAGTCAAGCTTCTGTTTATCAAATGATAGTCGCCATATACGAGTGTGGTGTCAATGTGGAGACAAGTCCAATCCAGCAGCAGTTGTGGAATGCCTCACCACGTGACAATAGGACATCGTGGTTTGGGGTGCAATTGCGTATCATTCCAGGTCACCTATAGCTCGTACTCAGGGTAATATGACAGTTCAATTATACCAGGGTTCATAGCCACATTTTAGTTAAAAAATAAGCACCTATAAGCACTTTTTCAAGCACATTAAAAAAAATAAGCACCTGTCTAATTACATTATACACAACTGCATAACCTTAAAAATTAGACTCGTTTTTTAAAATAGGAGAAATGCAGTATTTATTAGATAGAGAGAATAAGCATTACCTCAACCCTGGAAAAATAATTACTTTTTTTTAAATTTTAAATAACAGTTCAATTTACAGAACTAGTTTACAATGAGAGGGGAAAAAACTATGCATAACTAAACTATATTACAAGATTTAATGATGAATTCAGTTCAAAATAGAGGAAATAAATAAGAATAAGGCATATTTATTCTATTCGCTTGGAACTTAATAATAAATACAATTTATTTTTCCACTCATATTGATATTTAACTAATTTAAATCTAAATTCTGAACATTTTCTAAATTTTCATCGTATATCAGTAGTGATGGGCAACTTCGGTACTTTCTTGTACCCGGTACGAGAGTAACAGGTACAGACAAGTACCCGATACAAAACAACCCGTGATTCAAGTAACCGTTACTTTGAAAAGTCCCGAAAACCGATTTCAAGTACCGAGTACCCAAGTAACGATTTGGAGTACCGAAGTAACGAAATACCGGAGTAACAGTTTGCTGTACCGGAGTACCCTAGTAACGGTTTGCTGTACCGGAGTAACTTTTAACGATCTGGAGTACCAAAGTACCCTAGTAATGATTTGGAGTACCGAAGTGCCCTAGTAACGATTTGGAATACCGAAATACGCAGCTAACGATTTTGCACACTGAAGGACTCTGCCACGTCCCACGTTTGGTTTTATCTGTACGGAGTAAGATTTTGAATATCAGAAAACATGTCACTACGAAGTGTCTGAGGAGCAGGCAATTCATGTGCACAAGGATCGCATATCACCATTCGCAAATACAACCAGATACTATGTCCTCGTACCAAAACCGAAGTGAGCTGCCCTCTCGATCCTCCAGTAACGAATATGAATACCGAGAGAGACGCATATTTTCATTACAAAGTAGCGAATACCGAAAAGCATCCGTTTTGGTACAGAAGTAGCGAATACCGAAAAGTGCCCATTTCGGTACAGAATTAACGAATACCGAAAAGTACCCATTTCGGTACAGAAGTAACGAATACCGAAAAGTACCGATTTCGGTACTGCAGTAACTGGTACTTGGACGTACCGATTTTCAGTACCCGTTACAAAATACCCAGTTCGGTAGTACCAACTCATCACTATATATATCAGTTTTCCCTTAACAGATATTGCAAGCAAGTAATTTAAGTAAAAAAGAGGAACATTTCTGAAATCAGAAACGGAGATTTGCTTCATGCAGTCATCCTTTAACAGTAAAGCTTAACTACCCGCATACTTGAAATTGGCGATTATTCGGACAGTCAGCATAACTTGAAAAAGAAGCGGGGGGGGGGATAGACTGTAGCCGTTTTTAGATTTTTTCCGCTAAATAATGCTTTTACATTTTCGATATGTGCATCGTATAAAAACAAACCAACGGAATAGAAAAATATTCTGCTTTGCAAGCACAGTAAAACTCTTTTAAGTGTTCATAAACAAATCTTGGACCAAACATCAAAATTAAATATCTGCAAAATATCGCAAACGTT